CAAGTGGTCAAGTGGTAAGGCAAGTGGTGGACTAAACCGCAGTGCAACAGCAGTGCAACGGCGGTAGGATAGCGGTGAGTCCACAGTCAGTCAACGGAAGGTCCAGTCAGTCCCAGTCCGGTCCAGCAAGTACCACAGGGGGACTGTAAGCACCAAGGGCCGATGGCAAAAGGCAGACCAACGAGTTTCTGAAGTATAAATCAAGAGGCAGCGCCCAGCCATTCATTCATTCCTGCGTGAGCCATGCGGAAGCGCTGCCACAACGACTTGTGCAAGGAGGTCTGCAGACGAGCCCGAAGGACGCAGTGGGCAAGAGAGGAGGAGATAGCATAGCGATAGGTTAGAGGCAGCCATAGCTGCCATAGCTGTAGTTAGTAGTGAGTGTGTGTGTGTGCTCGAGTGTTAGAGTGATGCGTGTGGGATATCCAGGGTGATCCAGTGTATGTGAACAGTGAGATGTTTGGGCGCTGAAGTCGCCATAGCCAATTGAGGGTGAACTCGTATCTGAAAGCCATATCTCTGAGTTTTGAGTGGGCGCACGTCGCCAGTATGCTGCGTTGCTGTTTACATGCATGAAAAGTGTGTTTGAGAACGAGTCTGATTGCACCGTAAGGACCACATCACTGCGCTGAGGGAGGACATAATAAGACCGATGTTCCCCAAGGATGGAGGGCTTACACAGGGGCTTTTTTTTATTTAAAAAAAAAAAAAAAAAAAAAAAACGAATGCGAAGCCAGGACCTATTTCAAACAAACAAACAAACAAACAAACAAACAAACAAACAAACAAACAAACAAAAAAAAAAAAAAAAAAAAAAAAAAAAAAAAAAAAAAAGCACGACTGTACCCTCATGCCGAGTGCTTCGAAGTGTTTGCAAATCAAAAGATCCTTCTACTTCTGATCCAAGTACTTCGAATCCAGTTGTAATTGCTGTAAATTCTTGATCTGATTTTCTTTCTCTTGATGAGGATGATCCTCCACCAGAAGTCCCAACAAACATTCGCCGTCTATTAGATCGATTCCCTGAATTCTGGCCGAACCTCGTGGAGTTCCCGAGCGTCCGGTCAAACACAAGATCGAGATAATAGAAGGGAGTGTTCCTCCAAAGGGCTGCGTCTACCGTATGGGACAAGGCGAGTTGGAGGAGTTGAGGAGGCAGATTGATGACATGATCGACCTTGGATGGATTAGGCCTAGTGAGTCTGAGTTCGGTGCATGTCCTGTTTGTGCCGAAGAAGGGAGGCAAGCTCCGGATGTGCACTGACTATCGTGGCCTAAGCCGTATCACCCGAAAGAACACGTATCCCTTGCCTCGTATAGATGATCTGCTAGATGCTGCAGGTGGGTGCAAGGTCTTCTCCAAGATCGACCTCAAGTCTGGCTACCACCAGATTGAAGTTGATCCGAGTGACCAGCACAAAACTGCATTCAAAACACGCAATGGGCTGTACGAATTCATCGTTATGCCCTTCGGTCTTACGAATGTGCCAGCCACATTTCAGTGCCTCATGGACAAGGTACTCCGCCATCAGCTCAATAGGTTTGTGGTTGTGTACCTTGACGATATCCTGATTTTCAGCAAGTCCATGGAAGAGCACGTCAACCACCTTGAGGAGGTCTTGCAAGTCCTCAAGGAGGCACAGCTGCACCTCAACTTAGAGAAATTTGAGTTTGGAAGGGACAGCGTCATCAATCTTGGGCATCGGTTGTCTGCAAACGGCCTTGAGCCGGAGGCAACCAAGGTTGAGGTCATACGAAATTGGCCTCAACCAGCAAACGTACGCGAACTGCGTTCTTTTCTTGGTTTGGCCTTTTCCCAACCTGTCGACCAGGAACCTGCGCAGGCAGCCGAGACCCGCCGCCGGTAGGGATCTCAACCTGCTATAAATTTCCATTTCTAAGTTTTAACTTTATTATTACAAGCCTAATTTACTTGCGCGACTTTCTTTTTTTTTTTTTCCTTAAAACAAATATATCAGATGGCAAGGGCCTATATCAGTGCGCTGTTTGCTCCTCCACTCTTTCTTCTTTGATTGCTTTGTTGCGCATCTCTTCTTGTCTAGATTCATCTGTACTTCTCACCATGTGATCATCTCCCTCCTCTCTCCTCCTCCTCCTCCTCGCCTCCTGTTCCTCCTCCCCTCTCTTCCTCCTCCTTGCTCTTACCCTCCTCTCTTCCCTCCTCTCTCCTCTCCTCTCTCTCTCCCATTGCAAGGCTTAGGCGGCTCACCGTCTGCTCATCCCTCGTCTCTCCTCCTCTCCTCCTCTTCTCTCCTCCTCCCCTCCTCCTCTTCCTCCTCTCTTTCCCTCCTCCCTCTCTCTCCCGTTGCAAGGCTTATGCGCGGCTTGCCATCTGCTCTTCTCTCCTGTCCTCCTCTCCTCCCCCTCCTCCCCCTCCTCCTCCCCCTCTCTCTTCCTCATCCTCTCTCTCTGCTTCCTCTCTTTCCCTCTCTCTCTCTCCCTCCCATTGCATAAGTTCGGCGCGTCTCCCTTTCTTCTCTCTTCTCCCTTCTCTCTCTGTGCCATGATCTCCGAATAGAACGCACTGTCGATCACCCCCTGTCAACCAATACACCCACAAAATAGCTACCCTCTTACCCCCAACACAACGCAGCCTCATTATGACTGCATCCAACCGGAAAGATGGCTTGTATACATTCGGGATCAGGGTGCGTTATGTTCGGGGGAAGACGATAAACTCACTCATGGAATAACTACAATCTTTTTCTTTCTCTGATTTTTTTTTACATATTTATTTATTAAATCATTTACCTGCCTTTTTTCAAAAAAGAGGAGTGGAGTGGTTAAACAGGGAAGAAAACAGAGAGGCAATCGCCCCTTACTGGCCCCAACCCCCGTGCTCATAGGGACCAAATTCCCTCGCGAACAGGTTGCAGGATCAAAAAAAAAAAAAAAAAAAAGGAAAGAGCTTCCGTGAGTGTTGGGGGGGGGGGAGCAGGGAGAGGGCTAAATACGTAATTTCAGAATCGAGTTTCTAAACACTATTTAATTGTATTTTTATTTTTTTTACTATTATTCATTTATTATATTATACTTTTTCCCCTCTGATGAGAAATCGTGATTTGCGCCTCTTAGGGCCTGCTCACACTAGCAGTTTTTTTGCTCAATAGCGAAATCTGCTATGCTGTTAGAGTCACACTAGGGTTTTCCGACCACCAAAATTGCAAATGGGGTAGCATTTGTCAGCGGCCTGGGGGGCCGCGGGGATGGGCATTTGCCACCACCTCGAGAGGTGGTGGCAAATTCTCTTTTGGCCGTCGCAAATTCTCTTTAGCCTTTTGGGAATTGTTTAAAAAAAAATTGCGTGCTTTGTGACCATGATAGGCAGCAATTTTGCAATTGCCAGAGAGTCAATCTGGTGTCCTTTGTGATTTGCAACCCATGTGTGACCGCGCGGGGTACTATTTCAGCAAACATGGGAAAGCAAATTCAGCACATTTTGCTAGATTGCCACCGCTGTGTGAGTACGCCCTTATACCTATTTCTCAACACCTTGGTATTTTATCTTTTTTCTTTTTTTTTTTTTTTTTACTAGTTTTTTTTCTTTTCAATTTCAACGGATATCCCCCAAGGGCCACAGCATTACCTTTTTTTTTTTTTTTTTTTCCAGCCACAGCAGTGTTGCTCACATCAACTGAGTTATTATATAATAATAATCAAATCCGACAAGCATATTTCATTTCCGTCACTACATCCCTCAATTGCAAGAGCGGCCAGCGCTCAAAAAGTTCGCAATGCCCAAAATGCCACTGTCAAAACGCACCTGGGCGTCTTTCGACGACAAGGTACAGATCGCGCCGTCTCTGCTCGCGGGCACGTTCACGCACCTCCTCCTGAAAGGGACGGATGGCGTTTTGCCCATTGCCATCACTTGTCCCTTTTTTTTTCTTTTTTTTTGGAATGCCCACCGCAATCTTTCCGAGACGCGCGTGCGCAAAAGGGGGAAGAGAGAGAGAGAGAGAGAGAGAGAGAGAGAGAGAGAGA